GGTGCAAAGGCTTGTAAATTGAACTTTTACGAGTATTGTGTTCTGGGAAAACAGAAGAGAGCGAAGTTTGGCACCACTATACATAATACAAAAGGTATTGTGGATTATATTCACTCAGACGTATGGGGTCCTTCAAAGACATCGTCTTTGGGAGGAAACCATTATTTTTTAATTTTTGTAGATAACTTTTCCAGAAGAGTTTGGGTGTATCCTATGAAGTCTAAAGATGAAGTGCTTCGAATTTTCCTGAAATGGAAAAATATGATCGAGAACCAGACCAGTAGAAAGATCAAACGTCTTAGGATGGACAATGAAGGGGAATATAAAAAATGACCCATTCTTTGACGTTTGCCATGAGTATGGTATTGTTCGACACTTCACTGTTAGAAATACACCACAACAGAATGGGGTGGCAGAGCGTATGAATCGAATACTATTGGAGAAAGTTCGATGTATGTTGTCTAATGCTGGGTTAGGCAAGGCATTTTGGGCTGAGGCTGTGACATATGCTGGTCATCTTATCAATCGTCTGTCGTCATCAGCGATAGGAGGAAAAACACCATTGGAGGTATGGTCTGGAAAACCTGCTACTGATTATGATTCCTTACATGTATTTGGATCCACTGCTTATTATCATGTGAATGAATCCAAACTTGATCCGAGAGCAAAGAAGGCTTTCTTTATGGGAATTACCCATAGAGTGAAGGAATTTCGCATTTGGTGTTTAGACACCAAGAAGATAATTTGTAGCAGAGATGTCACCTTTGATGAATCTGCCATAATAAAGAAGGTAACAAATGAAGCTATCCAGACAAGTAGTACTCCGCAGTAGGTGAAGCATACTCTAAAACAGGTGGAGTTTCAGCAGACGATAATCCCAGAAGTTGATGCAGCCAATTCTTCAACTCCAATAGAAGAATCAGAAGATGAAGAGGTTCAAACCCAAGAACCATTGGAGACACCAGAACTACTTGCAGTTACAAGGCCAAGAAGAGAAATTCGTAGACCTGCTCGATTTGTTGATATGATGGCCTATGCTCTTCCAGTTGTTGATGATGATATCCTTGTCACTTACCAAGAAGCAATACAAAGCTTGGAAAGTGATAAGTGGAAAAGTGCCATGGATGAAGAAATGCAATATCTCCAAAAGAACAACACTTATAAACTGGCTCAATTACCGAAAGGTAAAAGAACAATTGGATGGAAGTGGGTATTTGCAAAGAAAGATGGATCTCATAGCAAGAAAGATGTTCGCTACAAGGCACGGTTAGTAGCTAAAGGCTACGCTCAAAAGGAGGGGATCGACTACAATGAAGTAGTTTCCCCTATTCTGAAGTATTCCTCCATTAGAATATTGTTGGCCTTGGTAGCACAGTTGAATTTGGAGCTAGCTCAACTTGATGTAAATACGACTTTCTTGCACGGTGATTTAGAAGAGGAGATCTATATGACTCTGCCAGAAGGATACAAAGATGGTGGTCGTGAGAAATGGGTTTGTAAGCTGAACAAATCGCTATATGGATTGAAGCAATCTCCGAGACAGTGGTATAAGCGATTTGATAGCTTTATGAGGAGGCAAAAGTACACTAGAAGCAAATATGATCATTGTGTGTATTTGCAAAAGCTTAAAGATGGATCTTTCATTTATCTTCTCTTGTACGTTGAAGATATGTTGATCGTTTCAAAAAGTCAAAAGGAGATAGACAAATTAAAGGCTCAGTTGAATCAAGAGTTTGAGATGAAAGATCTAGGTGAGGCCAAGAAGATTCTTGGTATGGAGATAAGCAGATATAGACAAAGAGGGAAGTTTTGTTTAACACGGAAGCAGTATCTGAGAAAGGTATTACAATGTTTTGGCATGAATGAAAATACCAAACATGTAAGTATCCCACTAGCTTCTCATTTGAAACTTAGTTCTCAATTATCTCCTAAAACTAACGAAGAACGAGAGTATATGGCAAAAATTCCATATGCTAATGCAGTTGGGAGCTTGATGTATGCAATGGTGTGTACGCGTCCTGATATTTCACAAGCAATTAGAGTTGTGAGCAGGTGCATGCATGATCCAGGAGAATGACATTGGCAAGATATGAAATGGATTCTACTGTATCTCCAACAAACCGTGGATGTTGGTTTAGTTTTTGAACATGATGAAGCACTTGGTCAGTGTGTGGTTGGATATGTTGATTCTGATTATGCTGGTGATTTGGATAAGCGTCGATCAACTACTGGGCATTTGTTTACTCTTGCTAAAGCCCCAGTAAGTTGGAAGTCTACATTGTAATCTACGGTGGCCTTGTCTACTACAGAGGCAGAATACATGACAGTTTCAGAGGCTATAAAGGAAGCAATTTGGTTTAACGGGTTGATGGAAGACTTGGGAGTTGTTCAAAGTCACATTAGTCTCTATTGTGACAGTCAGAGCGCTATTCACTTAGCGAAAAATCAAGTCTACCAGTCAAGGACTAAGCATATCGACGTGAGGTATCACTTTATGCGGGAGATCTTTGAAGAAAGAAAGATTCCGCTTCAGAAAATTATGACATCAGAAAATCCTGCAGATATGATGACCAAGGTGGTAACAGTAATCAAGTTCAATCATTGTTTGAACTTGATTAACATCATAAAAGTATGAACACCTTCGGGTGTGTGGCGCTTGTGAGCGTAATTAGAGGCACTACAAATTTGGGGAGTTGAAGAAGTTGAGTAGGCTTGGTAATTTCAAGCCAAGGTGGAGATTTGTTAGATTTGGCTTGAAATTAAGTTGGCAAGTTGGAAATTTCATCTTGGTTGGTGGCCAACTTATTAGAAATTTCATCTTGGTTGGTGGCCAAACTTTGAACATGGGAATTTCATATTTGGTGGCTAACTTGTACACATTGGAAAATTCTTTGGTAGGTGGCCAACTTATTTTTCATGTTTAATCCCTAAAATATTAGGTTATTTATAAGTTTAGTCCTTAAAACTCAACTATAAATAGGCCTAAGTATTTCATTAGAAATCATCCCAAAAACAAGTTCTCTCTTTCTCTTGTATTCTTCATTCTCCCACTTTGGGAATTCTAAAGAATTCCATTTGTTGTAATATTTGTTGATAGTGAAGTTATCATCCGGTGTGGTGCCCGAGGAGTAGACGATATTCTCGTCGAACCTCGTAAATTTGGTGTGTTCTCTCCTTTATTATTTTTATTCGGTTTTTTCCATTGTGTTTCAATATTCAATAGTTTGACAGGTTTATCCGTTGTGCAACCTTTGGTGGTTTTGATCTTGACATTTTAGGTCAATTTTGAAACTACGTTCGTGTGGGAAATAACACGATTTCCCCAACAAAGATGATATAGATTTAATTGCTTCACCTCAAAGTTTATTAATGTTAACGGACATAAAAAATTGAGATTTTTTTGTAGTATTATTTTATTTATTTATAGAAACAACTAATTTTATTCAAAATAAGAAAATTTCGGATAATCATCGAAACAAAACTAGCAACGTAAGATCATATAAGACCATACAAGGAAAGATTAAAATTTTAACCAAGAAACTCAAACAAAGATATATACAAATAGATCTGATCGCATTGGCAAATGAACCTCAAAAGAGGATCCAGATATTGAAAGATCACCGAGAAACCGTAAATCAGACTCGAGCGAAGTGAAAAGATATCCACAAACGCAAATTGGGTATCCACTTCCAATATGAGGGTCCAAAGCAGGGAAAATCAACAAGATATCAGATAAGCGCCATCTTGATAAGTCGTGACGATGTAAAATCAACCCTTAGAAAAATTTAAATTAAAAAAGGCCAAATGCCAAAAAAATAAGAAAATGTGTCATAAAGGCAGATAAAAACGTGTCATACCAGTAGACTTATTGAAAATAAAAAACAAAAAGGAAATAGAGATATAATATAAATAAAAGAAAATGACAATAAAAAATACTAATAGTTAGTAACCAACATTAAAATTGGTACCACCGTTGATTAACAAAGACAAAAATGATATATAATTGATATATATGTGTAATATTATAAAGTTGATTGTAAGTAGTCCTAAGTGAAATTTGTGACATACTTAAAATTTGGATTATACCCCTAAGGGATAAAACTAGGATTTCAATTCAAAGATTAAAGTATAATTATAGAAAAATAAAAGGTAAAGTATGATTACTTATAGAAAATAAGAGAAATAAAATCAAAATAAATTAAAACCACATATTTTTTTAAACAAAAACAATAATGGGACAGAGGCCCCGGGGACGAAACATGCCCTCAACTGAAAAATATAATCAAACCTAAACATTCTCATACATACATACATACATACATACATACATACGAAAATCTTTTGAGAAAAAAGGAAAAGAACGAATCAAGACTTAATTTCTAGCTGTTTTGGTCATGAAAAAATCCAGAATCAATTTTCTCTATTATTCATTTTTTCTTTTCTGGGTTATATCTCTTTTTTCACTTTTTAATTATTAATTGTGAATCTCTATTTAAATTAAAAATAATAAATCGTCTACAAACATCAAAATCATAATTTTCATAACAACAAAATTGGAATAATAATAATAGCACTTATTAATAAACCCAGAAATGGAATTGTTAGACAAAATTTATTGATAAGGGAAAAGGTAAAATTTATAATAGCACTTATTATTATCAGAATAATAATAAATATAACATAGTTAAAATCCGATTACAATAGTAATTTAAATACATAAGAATGCTCATGTTCGTCGAGTCAAATTTCGAAAGCTATTAGCTTATATATTTCAGAAACAGCGTAGAGATATTGTTGCCTGCCTGTAGGTGATTTTTATTTAATGAATTTTCTCAGGACTTTTATAGCAAACCTTAAATTATAAATACATCTGCCGAGAGAGCTGCGTACCAGTCCACTATGGTGATTACAAGTTTGCTTTGATGAGCTGTTTATTTTTATTTTTTTCAAAACAAATTTTATCACATTGCATCTGCACCTTCATCAGCATGCAAGATAAATACTATTGAGTTTCTTCTTTTAGTCATTTCTCTCTCTCTCTGTGTTCATGTTCCATAGGAGAAATGTTGGATTTTCAGTTGGAGAAATCATGAGTTCAATCTCCAGTGTTAAACTCCATTTATGGTGGATCGTTGTTCTTGTTGTTGTTGTGGTTCAAGGTTTTGGAGTGAACACCGATGGGGTTCTCTTGCTTTCTCTTAAACTCTTTATTCTGGGTGATCCTCTAAACGTGTTGCAGAGCTGGAAGTCCTCCGACCAGACGCCATGTTCGTGGAATGGAGTGACTTGTGGAAGACCAGACAACGACTCCTATGTCTACTCTCGTGTTACAGCGCTGTCTCTTCCGAATTGTCGGCTTCTTGGTTCCATCCCTTCCGATCTGGGAATGATTCAGTACCTTGAAATTCTCGATCTTTCCAACAATTCCTTCAATGGGTCCCTTCCTCTTTCGATTTTCAATGCAACTCAGCTTCGGTCGCTTGATTTGTCTAACAATTCCATTTCTGGGTTTATACCGGAAACGATAGGACGGTTGAGAAATCTCCAATCGCTTAACCTCTCCGATAATGCATTGACGGGGGATTTACCTGCAACTCTTACTAATATCCAGAACCTAACTGTTGTTTCTTTGAAGAACAATTACTTGTCTGGAAACCTTCCAACTGGGTTCCAATCTCTTCAAGTTTTGGATCTTTCTTCAAATCTCATATATGGGTCCTTGCCTCCGAATTTCGGAGGCGAAAAAGTTAGCTACTTTAACATTTCTTACAACAGACTTTCCGGGGAAATTCCGCCGCAATTCGCCGAGAAAATCCCTGGTAACGCCACCATTGATCTTTCTTTCAATAACCTCAGAGGAGAAATCCCGGATTCCGTCGTTCTCAAGAATCAAGTATCCAAATCTTTTTCCGGGAATCCTCATCTATGCGGTGAAGCAACCAGGCGTGCTTGTCCTATTCCTTCTTCACCGACTTCTCCGCCAGCAATCGCCGCCATCCCCAGAACGATGGACTCCGACACGCCGGAATCGTCGTCGGGTGCTAAAAAACAAGATCAAAGCAGGCTGAAAACAGGAACGATTGTAGGAATTGTTGTGGGAGATATAGCCGGAATCGCATTCGTTATCATGGTTTTCATCTTGGTGCACAAGTTAAAGAGGAAAAAGAGAGTCGAAACCGCAACGAAACAAGAAGCAAAAGACAATTTGTCGATAACATCTTCATCGTCGGAATCAAAAGGGTTTTCGAGATGGTCGTGTTTGAGAAAGAGAGGGGAGTACGAAGAAGATTCTGACGCCACCTCCGACACCGAAGAAGATCAAAGCGGGAGCAAAAGTCAAGACAATCAACGGCAGCAAGAGCAAGAACACGACAAGAAAGGGACACTGGTAACGGTCGACGGGGAAAAGCAGCTTGAGCTGGAGACGTTACTAAAAGCATCGGCTTACCTTTTAGGCGCGACGGGTTCCAGCATAATGTACAAGGCGGTTCTGGAAGACGGGACGCCGTTGGCGGTTCGAAGGATCGGTGAGAACAGTGTGGACCGGTTCAGGGATTTCGAGAACCAGGTCCGGGTCATTGCTAAACTGGTTCACCCGAATTTGGTCAGGATTCGAGGGTTCTACTGTGGAGTTGATGAAAAGCTCGTCATCAACGATTTTGTACCAAATGGCAGCCTCGCCTACGCTCGTTACAGTAAGTCCTTATCCTATTCTTCAATTTTCCGGTGCCTACTTTAGCAAAAGCAGCGTGGGTATTTGTTAAATTACGCCAGAGAACTCAAAGTCTATGGCGGTAGAGTAGTTGTAACTTAAACGTTGTTGTTTAATGCATGGGAAAGTCAACTGTCTCTGTCTTGGCATGGGCCTCGCATCTCCCATTTTCCCATCCTTTACCCCCACGGCGTTTGACAATGACTTGTTAAGACTCAGGATTCGATCCACTCACTTCAAAATATCCAAGTTACGAGATTTCATCATTCTTATTTAATAATTCAAATTTTATTTAATTCTTTTAAATTAAACATTAATTTTATAATTCTATAATATTAATTAATTTTGATTTAAACAGTTTTTTTATAATCTTATATGATATACATGTATATTTTTAATAATTTTTCATACATATATTATGGGGAATTGATGGATTCAATTTAAATTTGAAAATCAACCCATTAATATTTTAAACAAATTAAGTTGAATCAAATTGGAATTCAATAGAGTAAAGTTTTGTTGGACACAGAGATTTACCTTCCCATTTCCCCCCTTTTTGATGGTTAAATTTTAGTTTTGCGCCCTCTACTTTGCTCAAATATTAACGTTTTCTTAGTCTCAGTGGCTTGTTCTTGCGGTTACAGTCGACAGGCTTTAAATGTTGGTTGGTTCCATTTCAGGGAAAGCTGCTTCTTCACCATGTCATCTTCCATGGGAATCTCGGCTAAAGATAGCTAAAGGTGTGGCCCGTGGCCTCGCATATCTCCATGAGAAGAAGCATGTGCATGCCAATTTGAAGCCGAGCAACATCCTGTTAGGCACCGACATGGAACCCAAGATTGGAGATTTCGGACTGGAAAGGCTGGTAACAGGCGACGCGAGTTATAAAGCTGGAATTTCAGCCCGAAACTTGGGCAGCAAGAGGTCAACCGTGTCGAGAGAAAGCTTCCAAGATTTAGTAGGACCTAGCCCGAGTCCAAGCCCGAGTTCATTAGGCGTATCGCCTTACCACGCCCCCGAGTCACTTAGGAGCTTGAAGCCTCATCCCAAGTGGGATGTGTTCGCATTCGGTGTGATATTACTGGAGCTCCTGACGGGGAAAGTGGTGGTGGTCGATGAGCTCGGGCAGGGGAATGGGATCGTCGTCGAAGACAAAGACAAGGCCTTGAGGATGGCCGATGCGGCAATCCGTGGCGATTTGGACGGCAAAGAGGATGCGTTGCTGGTTTGTTTTAGGTTGGGGTATAGTTGCGCATCTCCGATCCCACAAAAGAGACCATCCATGAAAGAAGCTTTACAAATACTTGATAAAATCCCATCTTCAACATGCTATTATGGACACTCATGAACAATCAATAAATGGATCAAATCGGATACTGTCTTTGTAGAAAATGTATGTATTGATTGGCTGATCATGATCTGGTTCTTCTTGCTGTGTGTCACACTAATATTGCTGACTTTTAGACCCAATCCATCCTTGCTTTTTTGTCTATTATCAGTTCTTAAACATGTCTATTTATATATTCATAAACATGCTAGTTTAAATTTTATGAACATGATCATTTATATATTCATTTAATGTTTGTGCATATGTCCACAACTTTGTCCATTTGCAAGGTAAAATACGATAAAATTATGACATTAGTGCTTAAACTCCCCAGGCTTCATAATTTGAACTCCAAAATATATCATATGTTCAATTTAGTCCTTACATCAACCAACTAACAAACGAACTTGTTCATGAATATAAATGACCGGGTCGATAAACGAGCTTGTTTATAAACATAAACAAACAAGTCAATAAACTTGTTTGTAAACATAAAAGAACCGAACACCTATATGCATATTCGTTCATTTATTGAATAAAATAAAAATTTTATTCATACTCGTTTATTTAGCTTGATAAACAAACGTTATACAAACGAGGTTCAAAAACAGTTCCCTAAATGCTCAGTTCATTTACGCTCCTAGAGATAATGCAATTGTATACTGCTTATCACTGTTCAACTGCTAACTCTTCGTCTTCTTTTCGAGGCCTCCATTTTCGATTGACGAAACTGTTTCCCACTACTTTTTCAGACTTCATCTGCTCATCTTGCACCTTGAGCTTTTCATCTATAAGTTCCAAGAGTTGTTGCAAGCCCACACCAGTGAGTGCAGATACTTTGACGTGTGGAAAATGCAGAGGTTCAGCTTCAGAATCTTTTTCCGCCTTACGGTCATTAGAGGTCTCAGCTTCCTTCTGGTCATTCAGGGTATTCCAGAAGTCATCCGCAGAGTCGTCCACTGACAACAGCCAGCTGTCGGAGTAATCCCCATGCTTATCGTCATTCAATGCATCACTACCATCAACTGATTTCCCATCTAATAGCTCTGACGCCATAACACAATCTTCTTCTGGAGAACCTTCAGTCTTGCCGTTTTCTGCACCTGAGAAATCGTTGATCTCAACATCTTCAGCATCACCCATTTCTTCTTCATAATCAATCTGAGTCAATTGTGAAGTTAGAAGACATCTTCATTCTTTCTTCTTTTTAAATCTCTGCAAGGATTAGAGGTTTAAAATGTGAAGTACCTTGTTCTAGACTTCAATCATGCTCTGAAGCTTCTCCTCTGACACTCCAATTTGTTGAAGAACTTGCAACACTGTGGAACGATGCTCATCGTGGCTAGGTGCAGTGCAATCTATTACATGCTGCAGAAATATTTGAAAAAAAAATCTATAAGTAGACCGGAATGCAGAAGGTTCAGCACTGTTAAAAAGATTTGATCGGTTAAAGATAATCATAAGGTCATCATCTTTAAACTAAACTGCTTTTATAAAACCAGAAGTACAATTTAAAATAGATTATTTTTTATGAAAACTAAAAGAGGAGAGTTTATCCATTCATACCACAATTAGGTTAGCCTCTAGCACCTCTTCTAAGGTTGAATGAAATGCTTCCACCAACTATAAAGCAAAACCCATTGGTGAAATGATGAATGAAGACTAAAAAGAAAAACAGGATCAATGACACATGCCCAATGCTTCTCAGTTACCTGCACTGGCAAATCGGATATGAACCCCACCGTATCACTAAGAAGCACTTTCCTCCTGACATATTATATGCATAATATTATAGTCTCGTCAATGATTAAAATGAAATGTTTATTTTCATTTTCCAAAATTTGAGAGAGATAAAAACATTAGATATGGACCAACTCACCCTGAAGGAAGAACAACACCTTTTAGTCTAGCGTCCAATGTTGCAAACAATCTGCACATCACTGCCTCCAATTAGCCAAGATTCACCCTTCTACTTATAACAAGGAATTTATCTTCGAGGGGTAAATGTCTTGAATAATAAATATACCTTGCATCACTATACAGATCACTATCTGAGAGTGCACTAATTAACGTAGACTTCCCCTGTTAATAGAGAAAAGACGTAAATGTTGAGCATGAGAAAATAAGGAAACAAACCGCAGTTTCTGTTAGATTTTGGTCACCTACAGCATTTGTGTATCCTACAACAGCAACAGTAGCTAAGCCCTGTCCATCAAGTCCACCTCGTTTTTTACGAGCAGCACATTGCACAGCTCGGGTACGGCAAACCTCTTCAATCTGGAATAACAAATGATTCCGCCGTTCCAAGATTCTAAGAATAAGTTCCAGTCAGTGAACGTTAAAACAAACACAAAGTTAATAAGCATTAAGTAGCAGATCACAGTGAGAAGTATCCAGTTACATAAAGGGAAACATAAAGAGATTGAAAACAGGCATGCCACATCCAAACTGAGGTGAGAGGATTGAGGAGGAATAAAATATTCACTAATATCGATTGCTACAAGCTTCGGAAAAAAGAACATGCATTTCATGGTTAACACAATCTTAGAACGAAAGGAATATAATCAACAAGGCAATGCCAAAGCAGAATATCCTAATGGAACAGATACTGCCCATCACAAAAAAAAATTAAAACAATAAAAACCACCACCACAAGCATGTATATAAAAGGCTACATGTTATGCAACTAGTCAAACATTCATATGTGTACATGATAAGACGAATGATGATATGAATTAGTAAAGAGCAAACCTTCGGTGCTGAAGCTGCAGTTCAGTTTCTATTGCACCACTTATGAAACCACGGCCACCACTTCCTCTCCTGCAACCAATACATAGGCAAATCAAAACCATTTCTAAGAATAGACAATTATCCATGACAGGCAATTATAAGCTTGATAAATGAATATATTAAGGGTAAAGAGACAGATAAAAAATTGTTTGTACTTTGAACCGCAGAAACATTTCAATTTTTGAAAAAGAATATCGAAAAAATGAAAAAAATATTACCCATGACCCTACCCTGTAAAGATCAGCTTCCATGAAATTTATCCTCAATTCATAGTGTTTTTCCCTATTTGGTTGGAAATGAAGTAGGATTTATGCAAGAGAATACAGACAGAGACAAGAAAAACATTAGTTTAAAGCACCTCTTTGGCTTCATATAAGAATCTGAAGCAACTTGAATAATGGTCCATATCAATCTTGGATTTCTCTAATACAAGTTAGACAAACAAAATTTCAAAGTTTTTATTCTGTTCTACGGGAAATTCAGGCCTTACCCTCGTGCACTAACAACTTCAACTTCTCCACTAAGGCCAAAAGCATTGCGTCCATCTAGTCCACGTACACGGACAAGCCTAGTCTTCTTGTACATAAGAGCTGCTAACTCGGCCTATACAATATCAGGTAACCCCCAACCCCAAAGAAAAGTTAAATAGATAACCAAATAAGCTGCAAAAGGCAATTTTGGAAAAAACAGTGAAATTGAAAATTTCAAAATGTAATGCAATGCCAAGTAAAGCCCGGAACTTTACCTGTAACTTGGCCTCCTTGTGCGCATGAGCATTGAATATTTCTATTATAAGGCCCACACGATATAATACAGGTTTTCCCCAAATTCTCTGTTAATGAAAACAGCAATATATTAGCAAAACACATAGGAATACATCTTTTTTTTATAGGACATAGGAATACATCTTGAATTTCCCTTTCGACTAAAAAGGGAGGAGAGCTATTAGGCAACAAGTACTTGCCTCCAAATTACGTTGCTGCACTCCAGATAGGATGATATTGACAAAAACAGCATCAACTCCATCCTAGTAAAATCATATGGTCATATGTAAGGATTCCGCATTTGTATTAAAATCATAAGCTCGTTTTGAAGAACATAAGAAGAGAGATTATAACAAGTTACTTGCCTTGGACTCCAAAGCATTCAAATGGCATTTGATATTTCCTACAGTTCCAGGTCCAAAATACGTGTCTAAAAATAAACAAAAAAGAAAGAATTCAAGAACAAAACATTGAAGAAATACCTAAAAGCAAAACAAAAAAAAAGAAATGCAAGAGGTTTTGCATACCAGCGCGGATTTTGGAAGATTTAAGAGAAGGGTTTTGGACAACAACATGAGGAGGCAACTCCTTATCGAAGAAATCAGAATCAAAGTAGTCATCACGCTGTTTCTCAAGGGAGTTAGCTAAACAAAGAGCCTCATTGAGCTTGGCCTGCAAGAAAGTAGGGGGAGAGACGAGGCTGGACGACCAAGAGGCGAGGTGGGCCAGATGGGTCCCTGCTGAAAACTGAACTGCCGGTGCTTTGATTTTCTTCGGTTCCCTTGTATTGTTGATTCAAATTTGAGTAGGATGATGAAAGAATGGAAAATGGAGGAGGAGAAAGGGAGTGATATCGGGACCTGAGGGACAAAGATAGAATTCTTAAAATCTCTCTCAAAACGTTGGCTATTAAGAATTCTTTCTACTCTCTTATGAATTGAAGGAACGTACTGGTTTGGGTAATCTGACGGTGGGGTGAGAACAGAGACCAAGGCCGAACCTGTTTTAATCTTTCTCTCAGGTCTCAGCTGAAAACCCTCGGAGCCCGTCTGCTACTGTCTTCCAGGTTATAGCCCTGGGAGCCTATCTGCTACTTAAAAATTATTTTACTTATTAAACACTAATTTTTTTTTTAATTTATTTGAGTCAAACTAAATCATCAACCAAAAAAGTTAAAATTTTTAAATTTTAAATTACTCGAAAAATCAAAAAATTAATTAAGTATTTTGATAATTTAACTAATTAATAATTAATTTTATTACTCTTTCAACTCATTTTTCATTTTAAGTTCATTTTTATCAAATTTGAACTATTTATTTCTAAACCATCATGGAATACATATGTTCTTCCAAGTCCTCTTTTTGATAACAAATTTTTTATTTTTTAATTTAATTCGTCAATTATTTTATAATTTTTATTTCTTCAATTCATCATTTCTTTTAAGTTCATTTTTAACTAAATTTGAATCTCATGTACCACAAAAGAATACATATGTAACTTCATTTCTTTTTTTTTTTACTAAAAATATATTCTTTTTTTAGTTAGTCATTTAACTTTGCATTTTAATCAATTTCGTCTTTTGTGTTTGCCTATAATTGTTTGTAAATTCTCATAAATTCATTGACTCCTTTATACTCTTATCAATATTTTACCCTCAAAATAATTTTTTAAAATATAATATTATTACTATTATATAATTTTAGATTGTATTTGAATATATTAAATAACATTATAATATGAAAAGAATATATATATATTATATATCGCAGTCGTCTTTCGGTTGGACCCAGAATTGGACTTTGACGTGAATTATTGGGTTAGAGTTGCCACCGACCATTTTAAAAACTTTAGGTAGATCGGACACCATCTTACCTGATCTATGTTTTACTAGAAATATGTCAGATTCGGGAGTCGGTTACGGTCAAGGAATGATTAACCCTTTTGAACTACTCTTTTGGTACCATTTAATTTGTCGGTTGTCTTAATTGTAAAAAATTAAAAATTTCAATTTAAAAATTCGATTCAAATTACTTACCTTTAATTAAATTCTCCAACAAAAAGAGCGACTGTTCAACTTGAGTGTGATTTGTGAGAATATCAAAATTTAGAGTGACGATCGAATGCACAATTCGCTCCCTAATTGAATTGCAATTGAATGAAAAAAAGGGGAATTTAATCCCGCTAAGTCTCGGCAATGGCCGGTGGGTACTTACTCCAATGATCGCGTTGCGCCAAAGAGAAATTGAGAAGAACCGATTATTTGAACTTTGAAGGTAGAAGACAAAGCCATGGAATTTAATAATTAAAGCACTATGGAATAGACAAATCCATGGAATTTAATAATTAAAGCACTATGGAATAGACAAATCCATGGAATTTAATAATTAAAGCACTATGGAATAAGACAAAGCCATGAAACTCCATTGAAGTGCAGATCTTATGTAACACAAAATCCGACAAAACTAGTTCAGCTTTCCATACCTGCAAACCAACACTAGGAATGGATGAAGTGATATTATGCTGGATTTTCATAGTAAAACAACGCCGGGAAATCTGGCGTCTTCTTGGTAAAACTAAGTCGCCATCTTCATCGAAGCTAATGTCTTGGTCCGTACAAGGTTCTTCGTCTTTGAAGAGTCCATTGAATCTGTTGGATTCAACTCATGAAGGCAGACAAATGGTGAAGCGGGAAATGTGAGGACCGAAGATGCCAGGTGGACATCCGAGATGAACCTCACTCATAACTTGTTCATGTTCCTCCTTGCTCTCCTTTGAATCTCTACCGTTCATTTGATTCAATATAAGCTTTGTTATTGCCTCCACCTTCTTCACGTCATTTTGAAATCCTTTTATAACCTTTTCTGTTGAGAGTATACCAGAGGAAAATAGGAGCATGACCATTCCAACTTCCCATGATCGTAGCATCCCTTGTTTTATGGTGGCATGTGGGTTAGTGGAGTAGGTGGAGGTTGAACATGGGCCTATAAAAATAAAAAATAAAAATAATTAATAATAAAATATAATATAATTTTTGTTGACCCGGAAAAAATAGGTGTCTACATTATGGTTAGAGAAATTCGAATAAATATTTTCATAATACTATAAATAATTATAATAAAATTAATATATAAAGTCAAATATCTCTATTTGAAAAAATTCAAGTTAAGTTCAAATTATAAAATACTGCTTGCCAATTTGAATAACTCAAAATATTTTTTAACTCGACTCAATCGAATACTCACTCCTAATTGTGATGGATAAAATATTTAAAAAATAACGTTATAAATATTAAACACTTTCGTTGACAAGAAAATATATTTAAAATTTTATTAGAAAATTATATAATTTAGACAATTTTATATCAATTTTGATCAAATTGTTCTTTATTGATTTTTTTCTGATCAAAATTTTCAATCTTGACTCATTATTGTTTAAAATTTATTATTGATAAAAAAATATTTTAAACAGTTTTAAATATAAAAATTGTTTTATATTAACCCTAATAATCTTTCTAATTCACTTATCAAAATTAATTTTTTTATCAAAATTAACTTTTAACTATTATTATGTATAAAACATTTAAAATAATAACATTCGAAACATTAGATATCTTAATAAAAAACTGTTTAAAAACTTAAACTAGAAAGATTATATAATTTAGACAATTTTATATTAACCCTACCTCTATGCTACCTAAATTGTCCCTTATAGTTTCCCCCTCAATTTTTTTAACTTTAACTTATTATTATTTAAAATTTATTATTAATAAAAATATGAAAAAACATTTTAAAAATATTCAATCGAGTATTTTTAATAAATATTTTTTTATATATATATTTTTAAAATTTTTAAAATAATTATGGTCAAAGTTTAAAAATTTTAACTTTTAAAAAATCAATAAAAAACGAATTTAATGGTACGGAGATAATAACATTAAACGACTCCAATTAATGAGTCCATAACTGAATAATCTCAATTATACTTTTTTATTTTTGAGAGACAAATTAATGACTTAAGTTTTCATTCATTGTTTAATATTAGTAAATCCAGTTAAACTTCGTAAATTACACCAGATGATGTAATTATTACTCTAGTAAGTCGTAATTGCATGTTTAATGTAATTAAACATGTAATTATTATGTATTATCCAAACAAACCTCAAAAAGTATGAAGGACAATATTTTTATTGATTTTGACAATCAATTCTAATCCATTATGAATTGTTCCACAAAGATTCGTAGCAACTTCAATCACCCCACAGCTTCAAATGTTTAGCATGCATCCCTCAGATCAAGCACCAATTACACAATTTATTAAACACAAATCCACATGAACATCGCACAAGCATATAATTATCCAATTGTAACAGGGTTTATGTACAAAACAAAGTTTCCAGAGCCTTAAATTGGGCTGGCACACAAGGTTATAAGCACAAGAATCTAGCTTACATATATCATCTCAAAGGTTTATACTCACATGATCTCTTCTATATCTTCTATATCGAGCCAATCATTCGATTCCTTGGTTTCAGGGTTATGAGCATTTACCTGCTCAGAGCCAGGATGCTTATCACCAACACACCTAACATCTTTAACGGAGTCCGTAGAGCTCCTGCCCAGCTGCACCCAATCTCTTGATTCTTTTGTTGAAGAATCAGAACCAGATGTTACTTTCTTGTAACTTATTGGCACATCCTCCTCTTCGAGATCACTGAATGAAACATCCTCATCATTTCCAAAAGGGATTGTGGTAGCATTCCGGTTACCTACCTCTGAAATTTCCTCTTTTAACCAGTCATCGGCATCATCTTCAGATTTCTCAATAGAAACTCCAGACGAACCAGATGTAGAGTGTTGATGTTTAATCTCTTTCATTGACTCTTCCTCAATGACAGACTTGTCAACAACCTGCATCTCAGCACTCTGAACTGGATGCTTCTCTGTTTCAATTTCAATAGCTATAGCAATAGCATGGTCTTCATTTCTAGATGCCTTGAGTAGCACTGCCTCATATTGAGTTGAAGAAGGCACAGAAAGAGACTCTTCACACGGCAAATCAACCGCCATTTGCGAAGTAACACTTTCAGAATGATCTTCCACAACCTTCACCTTTTCTTGGTACTGTGACCCTTGCATTAACATTTCTCTTGCTGCAATTACCTGATGTAGGCCATTTAACAGTTAAATTTTTTAAAACGGAATGAGGAACAGGGGTGAAGGAAATTGAATCACGAGGGAAATTGCGTGTATAAGAGTTGAAAATGTAACTAGAAGGAGAATGACGAGGATGAGGACCTGCAAAACAATATGTTGAGATAAAGATGGCCACTGCTAGGAAATGTCAGCGCAGCTAGCATATAAGAATCGCTAAACAAAATAAATATACTAGCACATTTTTCTCATGAGTGAATGGGTGAGAAATTTTATTCAAGTCTGAAAAAGACATGCTTAAAAAAATCGATTTTTTAATTTCCTATTTCACTGAAATTTTTTTTGCATCTTTTGTAATTATGTGTTATTATCATTCCCAGAAGTTGGTAAATGAAATTCCTGAAGTGACTCCTTGACAACAATGAAAACAAGAGGATCCATGAGCTTACCTGTGGAGTAGACAAAAGTTCTGCATCATGTTTACTGAGTCGAGGATGTAGAAGTATAAAATAAATCTTCCAAAAGCAACCCTCACTCATATAACCCGGGCAAAGTTCAATCCTAAGGGCAGCCAATCTTGGTGCAAAACGTTCAATGGCTAAAGCATGTTCTTCTTGTGCATCAGACATGTCAAAATCTGGTTTTTTTTTTTAATAAAAAAAACACAAGAATGATCTTAATCAGCCAGATTCACACCCATAACATTCTAAGTATAACTAAGGCAAACTATGCTAATACTGAGGCAAATAAATTTACGTTAAAATATGCCATCAAGTGCAGCTTGAAGTCAAAATATTCAGACAATTTCTCAAATGTTTGCAACATGTTTATTTAGTGCCATGAAAGTCTGCTAAATCTCGTAGAGATGACAAACTTTAGCTGATTGAGAAACTACAAACTACAAAGCATAGAGCAAGTGGAAGACCCTTCAATGGAAATCAGAAAGGATCATAAGAATTACAGCATTACGCGCAGCAATAGTCAGTAATGACAGTCAATCGAGTGAAATCCCAATTCTCAGGAAGAAATTTCCAAACTAGAAAGAAAATTTGAGTAAAGTATAAAGTAAATTACCATCAAAACCATCATCAACAGGCACGGGAAAATGGAGCCACGTTTCTTGATGCATCGCAATATCCCTAGCGAAGGCCACAACTTCTTCGGTCAAACCGACGACGTTTGCGTTATCGTATCTTTCAAGACTCTCTTCCTCGGATCCGAACTGAAGAAAATTCGAAGCGATCTTAGTGAACTCCGAGACGGCAATATTTTTAGACAGCTTCGAGAATTCGGTCTTGAATCTCCCGCCAATCTCCGATAAATCGCTGCGTATTCCCGCAATCAATTCCTCGTCGGACGGCGGCCGGGGCGAGTTTTCCTCCTTAGTCTGATCGAGCGGTAGGTTCGATGACGCCGGAGGCGGCGGGGCCAGGAAAGAGGCAACGCCCCAGAATTGGCGCGTTACGGTTTTGGTGAGCTCGGAGATGTCTTCTTTAACGCCACGTGGAGTGTTGGGATCAGGCGAAGATTGATCTGGATTAGGGTCGGGTGCGGTTCTCGGACTCGATGCAACTTTTGTATAGTCATCATAATCTTCGTCGAGTTTCAGTGAGTTAGCAACGGATCTAGCTAACCACGACATTATTGTCTTTCTTCCCTTTCCCTTTTCTTCTGCTCAAAGTTTTAGAGTTCAATCTGCAGAGTTGGAAGAGTGTTAAAAAGGATAAGCAGAAGACATACTAGTGGCAAACAAAACTCTCCCTGAAATGGTTTTGTTTTGGCCCAATAGGGCAGAGAGAAAAAAAATTAGGGAAATAGGACACTTCACTTTTAATTGGGACGTTATTTACTACAGTATTTAATAAACTGGTCACGTAAGGTGATGAATTTGTTAATAATATTTTTTTATTCGAACTCATTATTTTAAGATGACGAATTCTAATAAAATATATTTTTTAATTAATTTTTCTCACATTGAGTGTAAAAATTTAAAAAAAAAAGTTTTTTTTATTAAAACTCATCAATTCGAAATGACAAGTTCTAAGTACGATAACAAATACCGTAAATCCCAAATTAAAAGTCAAAGTGTTCTATTTCCTTAATTTTTTTCCTGGCCTGCCGTATTGGGTCAAAAAAGCCCCTTGTAATTGCACTCAAAACCCAAGTTCAGTTTTATATTTTGGGTCAAAAAGATAATTTATACTATCTAAAGGCCCAAGCCCAGCCCCTATTGATTTCCCATCTATTTCTTTTCAGATTTGGGGCAAACTCTAGCTGCTTAAGCTCGTACGACTTAAAAGTTTAAAGCTTGTTACACATCCTCACCTCTTCCCTAACTCATATTGTCGCTCTCATTTATTTCTTAAATTTTTTTACAACTCAGATTTTTATATTATCCAGTTAATTATACCTCTTGACATGAAATTATTGATAAATTCATGTGATTTACTAATTAAATATAATGACAATCATGTCTATTTGTCCTAGGATTCTACAAATAGCTATCATTAATCTTACCCTGACAAAAACACATAAATTACTATTCAAGATAAAGAGAATCTCTCTCTCTCTCATTCTCCATCGATCATCTTCTATAGCTCATCTCTATTCCACTAATTATCGTTTGTTGCTCATTGCTCAAATTAATAGGAGAATCACAAAACAAATCTTGTTTTTTCATCAACAATTAATACGATGACCGTGTATTGCCATTGACAAAAAACAACTTTTGAGATGAACCCTTAACAGCAAGATAGCCAATACAACGTCTCATCCTCTTTTCAAAATTCCTTTAATGTGCACGATTTTTTTACTAGCAACAACGATTCATGTATAAACTAATGTACTATGAGGCTTATCACAACTTACAAAACGAATTCCGAAGTTTACATACACAGTTTCAAGCATGTTAAGCGACAAGTGGCCCAATTACAGTAACAATAACAAAACCAACAATGACAATAGTTAATCTAAAAGAACTCTTCAAGAGTTATTGACCTCCAAATGAAAAAAAGAAGAGGAATAACAATAGAAAAAAAAATAAAAAATACCTCAAATGTCGTGGAGATTAACTAACAAGAGCATGCCTCCACTTGTCTTAATAATTCATAGGATAAAGTTTACTTTCTTAAAACATGATCAAAGGAGGGACAATATTAAGTGTGTGTTTTAATATGTTGACCTAAAAAATTAAGAACAGACGAAACAAATAAAAATCATGCAAAGATAGATTGATGATCTTCTAACTTCAAATAATTTTAGAAAAAAAATTGGGCTACGGAAGAGCAAAGTCCGCGTATGTCCCACGCACCAACAACTTCCTACACTTCGCTTTAAATTGTCCAAGGAAATCTATGATGGATTAGTGACCCTCATTAGCCCATGTCCTAGTACAATTAACTATGTAGATATTATAGGGGCTTCTGATAAGTTGAAATGTAAAAGCCTTCTCGACTAATTTACGAATGGGAGGCAAGAATTAGTACAACTTACTACTAACGACAATTAGGAGGGAATTTAAACAACTGTCATATATATTTATCGGCCAATTTTTGGTCAATAAAGACATCTCTCACTCGAAGACTATCAAGTTTTGTGTGGGTTAGAGACCTAATAAACTTTAAAAAACTCTAGAAAGAGATTATCTAAAACTAAATGTAACATTTGTGACCTTTTGGATGATTGTGCACTCTTCTTGTGCATCTTCGAACTTTGAAGCGAGTCTCTAAAATATGCTTATTAAAAAGTAGGCAAAGATATGTATATTGAGGCGGAGGAAATGGGAATTTTCTCAGACATACATAGAATTGAACATTGATATTCATTGTCTAGCCTATGATGACAAGAAGAGTTTCAATGATTAGTCTCTAGGCTACTTCTTCCATGAAAGAGAGAAAAAGAAAAAGTTTAAATAAGATCAAACCGAATAAAATAATACTTGAGCCTTCATTTCAAATTTTAAAATAAATTCTCAAGACTAATCAAGTTAGAGTAAGATAATTAGTATTTCGGACAAGAGTTGATATGAAAAAAAAAATCAGACCCGATTCAATCCATGCACTACCTTGAAATTACTGTGTGTATTTGTATGAATAAAATGAGGAGTTTTAATAGGCTGGTAGATTAGTGTAAATTGAAATTAGGTAACGAAGCCGACTTCGGCTTCTTTTAATAGGCTGACGAACTCAATGGCCAAAGGCCCAAACACTACACAAATCCTTAACCCAAAAGAAGAATTCCTGACAGCTTGGACGTCTCCGTTATTCTCAGCCTTACCTTCGGAAAAAACACAGCCAGTCTCACGCAAAACCCTAAACCCTACCTTCCCCGTCCTCACTCTTGCAATGGCGGAGCTGAAACTCTCCGAGAGCCGGGACCTGACCCGAATCGAACGAATTGGGGCTCACTCCCACATACGGGGCCTCGGCCTCGACTCCTCTCTGGAGCCCCGTGGAGTCTCGGAAGGGATGGTGGGCCAGGAACAAGCTCGTAAAGCCGCCGGTGTCATACTCCAAATGATCAAAGACGGTAAAATCTCTGGGCGAGCTATCTTGTTAGCTGGCCAACCTGGAACGGGCAAAACTGCCATCGCCATGGGCATCGCAAAGTCCCTTGGCCTCGAAACCCCTTTCTCTATGCTCTCTGGCAGTGAAATCTTCTCTCTGGAAATGTCGAAAACAGAAGCTTTAATGCAAGCGTTTCGAAAGTCTATTGGCGTAAGAATCAAGGAAGAAACCGAAGTGATCGAAGGAGAAGTCGTTGAAATCCAAATAGACCGTCCGGCAGTTTCTGGGGCGGCTTCAAAAACTGGGAAATTGACTCTTAAAACGACGGATATGGAGACCGTTTATGATTTGGGGGCGAAGATGATCGAGGCATTAGGGAAAGAGAAAGTGCAGAGTGGGGATGTGATAGCTATCGATAAAGCTTCAGGGAAAATAACGAAGCTTGGAAGGTCATTTTCGAGGTCGAGGGATTACGACGCAATTGGGCCGCAAACAAAGTTCGTTCAATGTCCAGATGGAGAGTTGCAGAAGAGGAAAGAAGTCGTCCATTGTGTTACCCTTCATGAGATCGATGTGATTAACAGCAGGTAAGTTCGAGCTTGGTTTTAACAAATAAAATATGCTCTTCTCCAGATTTGCCGCTTTGTTGCTTTCTTAACTTTTTCTTTGTTTTTATTGTTTTTCTCAATTGTTACGACGTGATTTGTTTCCTTAAAATAACTATGCTTTTAAATTACGGATGCGGTTACTTAAAATAACTATGCTTTTAAATTGCGGACGTGGTTACTTAAAATAAATATGCTTTTAAATTGCGGATGTGGTTACTTAAAATAATAATGATTTTAAATTGCGGATTCGAGCACGAGAAAGTGACATCCGTGGGAAAAGGAATTATTGTTATTCTTCGAGTACCCGAGTTCGAGCATCATAGATGTTAGTGAGTGACCTTTCGAAAGTATTATGAGAGTTATCTTTGAATATATACTCTATTGTATATACTATATTGTACTTACTTCATATCAATATATTGTGGATTCGATTACGTTGTCATGGTGACATTAAAAAATGTTACCATGCGCTGGCGGCCACAATTTAGTACTATGGGTCAGGCTTTGCTTGGTACTCGTGATGGAAATTAGCTAGCGCATGTGAAAATTTGTTAATCTGTAAGAAAGTGGTATGAATTTTACAAAATTCCCATCATTCCAAGCAAAGCCTTAGAGCAGTTATGAATTGTTTTATCTAAAGTAAACCATAAATAGATGAACTAAAAGTATGTTTGGATGAAAGAGAAAACTCAAAGTATATAACATTTAGGTAGAAATGGCCTGTTAGGTACATTTGGTTTACATATTTATTCCTAACTAGTGATGATTCTTCTTCAGAATTTGGATTCTGCAAGTTACGAGCTGTGTATTGATGAAGAAGGTTAAAATCAATCAGCTCATAAGTTGATAATTCTTCTTTATGGTTGCTCTCCCTGTATTTATGAACTCAACTATGTTTAGCATTCTTTATACCATCCCTACATATGTTTTGTCATGTTAAAGCAAATGTGGTTATACTATTATTTTGTGATTATTAGGGAAGAATTGGTGCATGGCATTTGTTTGGTATGAACATCATAACTTGTTCAAATGTATCTCGCTAATATGAAATTGATCCCTAGAGAACATCGTGCTGAGCACAATGTATGTATATCTGGTGCAATTCTGCCTTTCAGAATAATAGACTTTAAATGTTTTATGTCGTTTTGCAATAGAGATTCATCTATTCGTAGTTATCATTCTCCTGTTTCATCATGTTCTCAAGTTCAGAACACAGGGTTTTCTTGCTCTTTTCTCTGGGGATACTGGTGAAATCCGAGCTGAGGTGAGGGAACAAATTGACACAAAGGTGGCAGAGTGGAGAGAGGAAGGAAAGGCAGAAATTGTGCCTGGTGTTCTCTTTATTGATGAGGTGCACATGCTTGATATCGAGTGCTTTTCTTTCCTGAACCGTGCTCTTGAGAATGAGATGGCCCCGATACTAGTAGTTGCTACGAACAGAGGAATAACTTCAATCCGTGGCACAAACTACAAATCCCCGCATGGAATTCCAATCGATCTTCTTGATCGGCTACTAATCATCACTACACAACCTTATTCTGAGGATGAAATTCGCAAGATTCTAGAAATCAGGTGCCAAGAGGAAGATGTAGAGATGTCAGAAGATGCAAAACAACTGTTGACCAAAATCGGGCATGAAACATCC